CCAGGATGTGTGCCTTCCAGTCCCACCCACCATCTGATGAATAGAAACTCAAAGAACCATATCCTAATACGATCAGCTGTGGACTAACCATATTCAACAAGGAGTCTTTGTGGCTCTGACTTGGTCATCTTGAAAAACGGGTTGTTTCTTTTATAGTCTTGTGGACTAAAAGGGTGAGAAAGTGTGCTCCATGCATGAGAAATAGAAGAAAGCATCAAACTTGACAATGATCATTGTAACACTACCGGACGATCATTACACCACTATACCTTTCTTAGTATTACAATCCTAACACCCATTGAATCAACGTGTGAACTGGCTTCTTATAGGAAACAGCACATATTAGGTTATTGGTGCCAGATATCATTTTGAGACGGTCTATTTGCCTTCACCAGGAACTGAACTTGATATCTTGTGATAGCGATCAGAAGATGCCAATCTATTTCTTCCGGTTTGAGGTTTCCATGTTAGCCCTCTGGAGGATTTAAACCATTATCTTGTGATCTGACCTGTGGAGCACTAACCACTGTGCTATAGACCCACAGGTCATTTCATTGTATAATGTTTGTTAATAAAATTATTTTATAATATGAATTATTGGCAATTAAAAATAATATCTGATAATATAAAAAAATCTATAATTTTTTTATTTAAATTCTTTATATATTTGTTATCTTTTCTTATATAAGGTATTATAATATTTGATTTCTTTATTAAAATATTGCTTTTGTATTTATTATTTAAATATGTTACAGGTGTTTTGGTTATGTTGTTTGGTTTCTATTTGCTTTTATATATACAATATACTATAGTAATAATTTTTCTAATATTATTTTTTCCTTATAAAAAAACCCCTATACAACAAATATACAATGTTTATACTAATTGAAATCTAATTATTTAACAGTATGCCACTCATCAATTATTTGGTATATGATAAATAATTTGTCAAGCATTTGTCAACAATTCAGCAATTATTGTTAAATTGAATATGTTAAATTATTGATGAATTATTGATGAATGCTTGATAAATTATTTATTATATACCAAATAATTGATGAGTGGCATACTGTTAAATAATCAGATTTCAATTAGTATTATTTTATTTTAAAATACAATTACTATTATTTGAAAACTTTTTAATTTAATTATTAATTTGGTTTTCAATTTAATCAACAGTTATGTTTTCAGTATTAATGAAATTAATATCTAAATAAATATTATTTTTGTTATTTGGTTCTTGAGATATTTTATTAAAATTTGTAAAATATTTTCTTTTTATGTATAGTAATAACTGTAATAATAGCAAAAAACAATAATAATAAACAATTAATTAATTAATTAATTATATATTTTTGCAATATTATTTTATTTTATTTTAAAATAATTAGAGTAATTTACTTTAAAACAAATTATTTAGTTTGTAGCTTAGACTCTGGAGTGATATTGAATTATACAGTTTTATTAACATTTTTAGTAGAAAAATAAACAAAATATATACTTTTTATATGTCTTTTATTATATAATATAACAATGATAATATAATTGAAAAAAGTAGAAGAGCAATTATTACAATGTTCTTTTAAATAAAAGTGATTTGGTGATTTCTTTCTCCCTTTTTGTTCTGGTTTTTTTTTTTCAAGATTAAGAAATTCTATTTTAATTTAATAAGAAACTTTTTCTGTTATTGATTATTTTGAAAAGATATCAAACAATAAAGTAAGATTTGTTTTAAGCAGTAATTTCCACTGTATGATTTTTAATTAATATAAATCCTATTTTAAGCAATATATAAGTTTTGCTATAAATATCTTATATGTTCTTTATTAGCAATAGAATAGTAAAAATTAAATAGTTTACTTGATTATAAATAATAATAAAGGATTTATTATAATTAATTAATTGATATTGAAAAGTCTTTATTTATTAAACAAACTTTTCAAATATTCTTTTTTTTCTTTAAAAAATAAAATTTTTTACTTTTTAGAATTATAGGATTATAGTAGAATAACAATCTGAATATAGACTGGTTTTAATCTTTAAAACTAAGAATATAGTTTCTAGTCTTAAAAAAGGTAACTTTTATTATTTCTTACAATTATATTCAAACAATTAAAATAGATTTGAAAAGTCTAAAATAGTTAATATTATATAATAATAGTTTAATAAGCCTACTTTTTTATAATATAATAGTTAATAAATAGTCAAATCATATGGACAACATGATAATCTTAACATTAAGGATTTAAAGATTATATATAAATCTAAAATAATTTGTTAATAGGTGTTTTGTAAAGTAGAACTAGTTTAGTTTTAATATAATATCATCTGTATATTGTATTATTGTTTTCTAAAAGTTAGATTAATAAATACTAATATTTGTAATTTAATTAGAAGCAAAAAAAAAAAATATTATTTTTATATTATTTATTATAAAAAAACATATAAAAACATATAAAAAATTTTGAATTTTATAAAAATTAAATTCTAAAATTAATATATAATATAAAATTTTTAATAATAACAATAATATAATCTATAAACTAGTTATAAATAAGTAAAAAAATCTTTTTCCCACTCTCCTTTTTGCACTTGAAAATTTCCTTTTTAGAAAACTTTTGAATTGTTTATTTTCTTCATTTTTCATTTTTCTTTTTCTTCCCCTTCCTTATACTCCTTTTTTTTCTCTTTCTTTATTCTTTTTGTTCTTTTTACAAAACTCTTTTTCATTTATTTCTCCTCTCTTTTCTGCTAAAGTGAGGTTTTTTTTTCTTCCTGAAGATTTTTTCTTTCTAGGCTTCTCTTTTCTTTCAAAACTCTATCTCCCATCTTATCACTCCTCTGACCAGTAGACTCACTTTTTTCAGGAACTATATAAGAAGCGATAAGGTTTTTATAGAACATGGATTCTGAAAATTTGTCTCTTCCATGGCTTTTCAAAAAAAAGATGAATGGTTTACTTCTCTAAAAGATCAACATAGTCATCATTATCTAATTTGGCATTGTTTACTTGTTAATGGTTAGATTAGATACATTTAAAACTGATGTATAACTATTATTATTCAAAAGTATTCAAGGAGTTACACTTCACAATATTCAGAATGATATGGCAACCAATGTCAATATAGCTAACAATAAGCTAGATTAGTTTGTAGGTATCATGCTGGTGATTGGAAAATTTAGTAGGATAATACGTGAAGATTGAAGATTCTAGTTATTTTTGTAATACGAGCTAATAATGATAACAAAAGTTCCTTGCTTATCCTTCAACAATATAGGTCTTATTGTACAAGGTTAGGTACCAGCATCTCTAAGAAATCCAAAACAAAACCCCATCCATAGAATACTTTCACCATACTTGAAAAATAAGTATGCCAAATCCTTCTTATAACTTGGAGGCAAACCTGTATAAAGTGGCTACAGTGCCTTTATATAAAAAAGTAATTCCATTAAAAACTTCCAACACTATTCTGTCTGCTGAACAAGCATGCCAGTCCTACTTATAACTTGGAGGCAAACTTGTATAAAGTGACTGCAGCACCTTTATATGACTAGGCATTCAAATTAATTTCTAGGTAGCTAGATGCCATTCAAGATCATAATATAAATTTTAAATTATTTTACTGTATTTCTTGAGTAGTGTCAAGGAACTTAGAGGTGTGATCCATTATAGACCTTACATTTAACTCTTCCTAGCAAAGAGAAATGTATGTCATGCTAATTATATTGTAAATCTTGTAACCACAAGTCTAAAATTATAATAATAAAATAAAACATGGTAATTACTTGTTTTTTCAAAAAAAAAAAAAAAGTTATAAGTAAAAGTAATTTTATAATATTTATATATTTATATTTGAATTTTTATTTAATTTCAATAAGTTTTTTATTAAATTATATATATTGAGAAAAATTCCAAATAATTTCAGATATTATTTTATAATTATATAGATAATTTTATTTAAAACTTGTTGGTTTTATTATTTATTTTACTTATAAAAATAATATAAAAATTGTTTTTTGTTTTATTTAATTTTTAAATTTTTTACAAAAACTTTAATAAGCTTACTTTTTTTAAAATATAATACAAAATAATTATATTGTATTGATATTAAAATTACTAATTTAAATAAAACCTATAATTTACTACTCATATAAAAAAGATTATATTTTATATAAATTCATATTACAATCCCAAACTTCAATTATTATTATTATTATCTATACATATAATTAATAACATAACTATTGCTATTGATTATTATTTTTTTTCCTATTAGAGTTTATAAAGTTTTATGGATGTCAACTTGAACTTAATAAGCTAATATTAAATTATAACACTTGAATATTTTATATATTTTATATATCAATAAAAAATTGTATTTAAATGCGTATTAAAAAAATTATAAAAATTAAGTTGGAAAATTAAAAAATTTTTTATGTCATTCAATTATTTTTTTCAAAACATTACATTATTTGAAATACAATTTTTAAACAAAAATTCATTTAAAATTCATGACTATAGTTGTACCGCATTTGGCAATGATAGTCCCCTTATACCAGACAAGACATTTTCTACTGCAAGATTTCCCATCATATTTCGTGCTTCCAAAGTCGCACTGCCTACATGCGGAATCACAGTAACATTGTGAAATTTCAACAATGGATGATTTGGGTCCAAAGGTTCAGGCGTAGTTACATCTAGTCCAACTGCACCTATTAGATTTTCTGATAAAGCACGCATAAGATCATCCTGATGGATAATTTGACCACGCGCAGTATTCACAAGTATCTACACAAAATAAACCATTTGTGAAAGGATTGATTTTTAAAAAATATAACATCAATTTAAACTCACCACATTTTTCTTCATTCTTTTGAAAGCATTATAATTAAACATTTCTTTCGTCTTCTCATTTAAAGCACAACATATACAAATAACATCCGACTCTTCTAACAATTCGTCAAATGATACTTTATTCGCACCAAGAATTGCAGGTTTTGGCTTATCACTAATGCCAGTGTAAATTATCTTTCCATTTGTACCCAAAAAAGGTTTCAGCCGAAGGGCAGCTGCAGTTCCAATGCGTCCAAGACCAACAATACCAATAGTTTTGTTGGTTAATTGCGTACCTATCAAATAAAAATTTTAGCTGTTTTAATTAATAGATCGAAGCACTTGAAAGGTTACCTAGCATCCAAGTTGGACTCCAAGTAGACCATTCCCCGTTTTCGACTGCTTCAATGCCCTTCGAAAAAAATGTCATTACTTCTTGCATAATATAAAAGTTGAGTATAAATAGACTAATAATACCTCACGCATTCTACGCGCTACCGCCAATACCAATAACACCGTGATTTCTATTGACATAAAAATTATTACACGAAAATGAACTCTAATATGTTAAACAACCATTTACCTGCCGTAGCATCAGTAAGAACATCAGGAGTGTACCCAAGAGTTATCTTTCGTTTGCGAAGTTCATTTGTATCAACATGGTCATAACCAACTATAAAACAATGTACAGAAATTAAACCGAGAACAATAAAATGCAATTTTAATGTAACTCAATTTTTCAACCTGAAAATGTCGAAACAACCTTCAAGTTTGGTCCAGCAGCTTCTAACAATTCTGAATCGATTTTATCAGTTATCATGCAAAGAATTCCATCGACGCCTTCATATAAAATAAATGTTAAAACTTAAAGAAAAAAATATATAGATAACGTAGTAACATTTAAACCTGGTACTAATTCCAAAAATCGTTGACGAGGAATGGGACCTTCTTTCCAATGAATAAGCTCAATTCCCGGTGTGTTTTCAAGTTTCTTTTGTGGTTCTGGTGGCAAAGATCGTGTTAACAAGATTCTAGAACGCGCCATTACAAAAGGAATAGAATAACTGACCAGTTACACGATTTTTAAGGAACTAGCTTTTCTAAAAATAATTTTACATTTTTTTGATAAACATCAAGTTTTTATTATAGTATATACAGTCCCCCTCAATAAATGAAGGATCACTTAAGAATTATTATAATTAAATGGAAATAGTTATCATATATTAAACTTTTTATTTTATTAATAAAAACAACTTTTATGTATTAAGTAAACTTATTCTTTAT